ATATATCGTATATATTAATATATTAATTTAAATACATATAGAAATTTAGCATTTATTTACAGATAATAAATTTTTATAATATATCTCTAAACCTACAAAATAATTTTTACTAAAACTAAGATCTGCTAATTTAAAATGAAACTATGAAGTCTATACTTGTTTAAAAAAAATTTATAAAAAAAATATTCATTCAGTGTACTAAGTAACCGGAATTATGTAAAACCATGTAAACAAATAATCTCTCAATAAATTAATCAAATTTTTGTTGTTGTTTCTTTATAACTGTTCGAACCTTTCTAGTTTCTTTTTGTCATAACATGCGTCACATTTGACAAAAAAATCAACCTTAATAAATTAACACTTAATAATAATAATTAGTTAATTATTGTGATAGTTCTGTCGTTATAGGTGTTGGGACTCACAAAAGCTCAAAGTCCGTTGTCGTAATATTTGCGGATTTACCTCGTCTTTGTAGCTTCTGATGTATGATGATTTTTTTGATTTCTATTAGTCTTATTAGGTGGACTGCACCCGGATCCGGAAATTCCTCAAAATAAAAATCTCTCCCATTAAATTAATCTGCGGTTTATAAACAGTCGTATTAGTATATAACGAGTACTTTCTCGTTTCTTCCGTCATTCGAATAACTTCTATAGAAGTCTCTACTGTGGTCGTCTAAACTCTTCAAATACAACAACTTGTAAGTACGGATATCAGAAAATTGATACAATTTCTTGTTAAATTTGTGATAAAGTCTGTTCTATTGTAAGATATTTTTTTACCAAGACTGTGTTGATATGTAGTAAGTTTATTCTTTAAATGTTATCGAAATAGACTGCAATAGAACTATATCACCTTTTAACTCTATCCTCGTTAGGTATGACCACAAATTGTGTGAGTTTTTTTTGTTTGGAAAGTCTGTTTAAAAGTGGTAATTTTAGATTTGGAAACATAACATAAGTCTCGTTATGTTATATCAGGTGAACACAGTTCATTTTCTGGCCATGTTCGTTGTGTTGTTGCTTAAAATTTTTGTATAATTTACAAAAAATTTACGATATTTTCTACACTAAAAATTCCGGAAACTTTGTACACTGCATGTAGATATTTTTTTTTTGTTTCAATATAATTGTATACAGTTTTGTCAATAACTATTATTTAATATTTAATACTGTAAAGTGCTTTATTTTCACCTTTTCTATTGAAATTAAAAAATTTTAGCACTAAAAATTTATATATGAACGTAGCTATAAATTGTAGATACTCTTATATTGCGCAATTAATTACTTAAAATTGGTTAAGAAAAATAAATTTCTACTTTGTATCTGTGGTTATGAGTGTAATATTGTAATATTGTGATATTGTAAACAAACATTGTGTTTTTATTTACAGTAGAAACGTTCTATGTCTGACTACTGGAAAACACAAATTGTGCTATAAATAAGTTTCCTTAAAAAAAGCTGTATAGTACAAATTATAAAAGTCTAAATTCTAATTGAAAATGAAATTTATAAGAATATTTATCTATCGAATTATAAATTACTAAGTAGTAGTTTTCGATGGGTGTGTCATACCAATGGTAGAATTTCAACTACACCAAAAAGCATAAAGAACTCAAATGTTTTGACTAATTACACTAATTAAAATCTACTAAAAGCATTTAAATGGTTTTATGGGGAGTGTTATATGGGGAAATATGATACAGGATAAAGGGATGCTAAAGGGACTTTAATGTTATAAGTAAAAAACTTTACACTAAAAACAAAAACTTTGTTGTATTTATAGTTGAACTTAATGAAGCATTTTTTACCTTTGAGCAAAACTGGTGGTTCTTTAGTAGCGGTTTTGAAATCTTTATAATGTTCATAAATAAATAGTTTACTTTTTACTTTAATTAGCATTTGAAAAAAATGTATTAAACTTAAATGAAAATACAAATTCAAAAAATATTCAACAAAAACTGATATAGAAATTTAACTTTTCATCAGTGTTTGCATACTTCACAACTTCAGAACGAGCAAACTGGGAATAATTGTGAAATAAAAACAATTTTGTTGCAACTTTCACACTTTTTAGCATTAAAAAAGTGCAAGTTAAACATAAAAAGTAAAAGATTTTATAATAAAAAGATAAAAGTAAAAAAATCTAAAACTTTTACTCCAAAGTGTGTATTGTAAAAGTAAAACTTTTGATTGAACTTCGTTGAACTCGTTGCCAGAGCACAAAAGGTGAAGCGAAAAATGCAAACAATCCACAGACTTTTTAAACTGCTTAAGATATCCGAGAAGGATTAATAATTAAAAAGAAAATAATTTAAAAAAAAAATTATTTAAAAAAAAAATTATTTAAAATTTTTTTTTTATATTTATAAAGGATGTACTCGTATCTAGAGGACATAACTGGGATGTATGGTTGTATGGGTGAGGTTAGTGTTAATATTACTTGCATGCAAACAAACGTACAGTTTCCGGCCTATGAAGCAAGATACCCACTTTAGCCATCTGAGCTTGTACGCCCTTGGCCTGTAGTCCCTTGACAGCACCTTCTGCATATTGTGGTAGCTCGAAATCGACAAATCCATACCCTGAAAATATTTAATTTAGTTTTAATTATACATTTATAATGGGAGTTAATACTAAAATTAATTTTAAAGTTAACTAAGAATAAGGAACTGGACTATTACTAGGTCCTTCGCCCTTAGATTATTTTATTTTCATAAAATATAATATATTAAAATTATATATACACAAAAAAGATATATACAAATCTATATATTTAATTTCTACGTAATGGATATAGATTGTATACATTATCCAAAGTGACATTAATTAATGAGATGATTTCTTGGATCAAAAACCAAAAAAAAAAAACATTTAATACAGTCGTTTCCAAACTTTTTTTGACCAATGATATTATATTATATCATATATATCATATATATAACATAAATAATATTTTTGTTCTTAGTAAACACCATAAAATAGGTATATAGGAATAAAAATAAACAGAGTACCACCTCCCAATGGAGCGGAGCACTGCAAGTATGGTTGCTCTTTTGTGCTGCAACAGACTCTAACCGAACAGAAGACATTCCGCCTTCCGAATGAAAGCCAGAATGTCAGCAATTGAGGATCTCCTAATGTCAGAAGGGGAGAGTAGTTTTCGATCCAGTGACTTTCTTCTGCACCAGATCAAGGCTGAACAGTCACAGAGAATGTGATTGGAAATTTCGTCTGCTTCTAAGCAGAGTCTACAATCTATCTCTTCGGATAGACCCATTTTGTTAAAGTGACAACGCAGTCCATGGTGATACGTTAAATATCCCACCAGCAGCAACCTCAACTCTGTACTGCTTATCATAACTGTAGGGAAGAACCAGCTCTTTAGCCTGACTGTTAACTGGAATGTTGCGCCAGTAGCGACTTCTCTCGGCTGAAAACCATTTATAGGTATATAATTACTTCAAAATATTTTGTCCTTATTTTCCTATAAAGTCAGGTCTCAGTGGACAAACTACAAGCTATATGTCCATACTTGTTAAATTTGATTCACGGACCATTTTTAGTCATCTTGCAGACAACTGGTTAGGAACCACTGATTTAATAGATATATTCATTGTCAATATGAATTACAACAAAGTGTGTGTAAAAGCATTGAATCAATTCAATCAAATAAACCCTAAATATCTTTATCTGATTCACCTGAATATGTAGATACACCAACTTTTAGTAGTGAAGTCGCCCTTATTTTGATTTAAGGAAAACTTTTTAAGAAGTGATGATGTTAGTTAATAATATGTTAATTAATTCGTTTTTGTCGAAAACATCAGAATTTAGGATTTTAGGTCAGTTACAGAAATAAGGACACGATAAATGGAATATTTTTTAGAGAATTGTTCGAAACATAATACGACACAATAAATGCAAAACAAGCAAAATTTGTCAGCAAAAATTTATTTAAAATCACCGTAGCGTCTAAGTTTATTTAATACGAAAGGTGATAACGTATCAATAGTTTATATTAAACTATTGAAGTTTTAAATCATCATGGCTTTTAGCGATCACGGTGAAGGATATTCAGTAGATTCAACGTTAATGTATAAATTTAAAGAAAAATTTTTGTTAATAAAGGTTTTTTGGTTAAAATGTTCTTTTACACTATGTATCTTAGTATGGATTAAAAATGAAAGGAACTAGACTCTCCCTTTCCATAATTTTTTTTCGTTTCGTGGGCTAAAAAATCACCTTCACACATTAAGTCACTTTGGTATGAAACACTATGTACACACATATATATACGTACTCAATAATAAATATAAATATGTATTATGTTTGTAAGTTGTACCTAATGCAGTAAAATACAATAAGATATATTCAATAAAAATGAAAATTATAGTTTATGAAACTTACCCCGACACTTTTTCGTTTTTTGGTCTAAAATAGCTTTGGTCGAAACAATGTTGCCATACCTAAAAATAAAATTTTTTATTAATTATAAAAATATAATATTAGAAGATATTATTAATTCTATGAGAGAAAAAAAAACCTCAACCGTAATTAATAAATATAATATAATAAATTAATAAGTTATCATCAAACAAATTTCTTTGAATTTGAATCGAGTGTGGTATATCAATAATTTTTCCAAGCAATGAGAAGATCACACCTCAAATGGAATTAAAAGTTATTAATACTGTTTAAGTCAATTAAAAAAATATTGGCTATTCTTATTACGATCACTTATGTAAAATATATAAATCGATTTATTATTGATCTAGCTTAACGTCTGTCAAAAAATGAATGAAATCAAATGTTGTTTATTCTTCTTAAGGCATAAGATATAAGGCACATTAGTTGGAGCCATTTTTGTGGATTCATGAATCTCTAATAATTGTTTACGAAATGAATTATTAGATTAAGAAGTTTATATAGGCTTTTCTATTAATAAGTCTTTCCATTAACAATTAAAGGAGATGTTATAACGGTTATTCTTCATTTTGGATTCATCGATCTATATGATATGATATATGAGCTAATTTATTAACAAGAAAAAGATCTGCAATGTTAAAAGCTCTTGCAGAACCATAGTTTGTACGCCACTATATGTGACTAATAGTGCTCTTTAAATTAAATACTTGCATTTTCTGATCGTTATTGGAACGTATAAGACGAAGATAATATTATAACTTGGATGTAGTCTTAAGACAATATTGCTGTTAAGCACCAAAATAAGGAATATTCAGTCATCAGACTGATGATAGTCTTTAGTGGTCGATTGTGGAACAAACTGTCAACATTGGAATATCTCATAATATTCTGGCTTTCAGTCAGAAAGAAGGAAAACCATTTTATCTGTAAATGCCCTGCTTTATGAAAACAGACACCTTACATAAACTGTGGCTTAAGAATCTTGGGAAGTTGGCGGCAATAACATGGACGACTTGAATTACACTTACTAGAATTATTTATGCTATTTACAAAAATAACTAATAGAAAAGTTGGCAATAAGAATGCTGTATCAAAACCGTAAAGGCGCTAATTGGACCCATGGATCCAGTCATCATTTTCATCAACCAACGAATTAAACTAATAAACATTACTAGATTTTAATATAATTCACTGTTAATTATATCATAAAAGGAAGCGCACATATCATGCTTTAAATACTCAAGCAAAAAACCAATTGTAAAAGCAGAAAATGAAAGGCAAACATATATAACTTATCCTAGCCATACTAAGTCAAATCTCTCTTTTGTTTTCCACAAAAGAACAAGCATTCTTCTACATTTAATAAAGTTCAATGCCTATCTGCTTACGTCTTTAGATTATTGTTTGACAGATTTGCATATGACTACAAATTGGGTAGCCATAGTAGAAACTTGTGTAGAAGCTATGGAAATGTCTGAAGACATGAGATGTGCTTGTATTGGGATTATATCGAACAAGATAAAATACTAAAATTACTCCTTATATATATTTTTAAATGCTAATAATAATTGATTGTTTTCTGATAATACTTACGGGGCACACATATTTATTAAATCCTTATCAGTTGTATTCTCCTGCAGACCACGTATATACAAATTTGTCTTTGATAGTTGATCACCCCTCTGCGGTGTTACACTATTAGGACCCATATTTGTTTGTGTATTCATACGAGCTTAAATATGACTAGTAAAACAAAAACGAACAAAAAACGTTGAAGCTTAGACGCTTTTGACTTAAAAAGAAGAATACTTTAACGCAGTCTTGAAGGTGACGTTGTTGAGTTTGTAATTATCCACTGTATCTGAAAATAAATAAAGAAAAAAAATATTTATCAGTAATGCACAGGAATGCAAGTACAAATTTTAATTGTGAATATTGCTGCCAAAAATGAGAAAGAAATGTAATATATATATATATACCATATATAACAAAAAAAAAAATAAAAATAATAGAATTGAATTTTATCAATATCGAAAAGCGCATCTGTACTAATGCAACATTTTTCACTTAAACTACTTCACGTAGCTGCAGGATATTTAAGACTTCATTGAATCTACGGTAGGCTGGCACTTGGTTAAGTCCTTTACGGCAGCTGCAGCTGCAGTAGAGAGCAGCCATTTTGTAACTGAAACTTGGTACTTTGCCAAAACATTATTTTGCTATTAAATTTTTTTCATTTATATATACTTTTTTTTTGTTTTCTTAAATATTGTAATTTTTTTTTTTTTTGTAATTTTTCTGCATTTTAGTTTTACGAACTGTGTAAATTTGGCCCAAGTGTCCTGTTTGGAATAAGAACGAACAAGTATTCAATTTTAATTTGTTTAACATAAATTTCAATTGAACAAAAATGTATTTAGTGAACTTTGAAATGGATTCCGTAGAATGGGCACAAATCCGTTATCACGAGCGCCGCGATTTCGTCACGGATTTCAGCAAATTGGAGTATATTAGCATATATATATATATATGTACATATAGATTAGATCCGGTCAAAAAATACATAAGGGACAGAGCTCTGAAGCTATATGCGAAAACCGACAGGCTGCCCTTCTTAGCACTGTCTAATCTCAGAGTAATCACTAACCGCACGGGGCGATACGCAGATCTTAGATCAATCATTCAATAATCATGAAGATTATCAGGAATACTCAAATTAGTCAGTGAGATGGGCGGGACTCTGCAGAATCCCC